CTACCTAGGCCTGCGGCGCTGACACCCGAGTCGGGCCGAAGTCGTAAGTGGGCATTCGGCCCCTTAAGTCACAAATTTTGTTCCTCGGGGTTTTGTTTTAACGAGTTACCCTACCAGAGACCAACAACTATCTCAGAAAAAACATACAAATGTTTTGCGGTCATTTTCGTGTAGAAAACTCCCGCTGGTGCCTAAACGGTTGAAGATAGAGCAAAATGGACGAAATTTTCGCCCACAGGGCTCTATTTTGATGAGATACCCCTTAGAAACAGTAAACAAATATTTTTAAAAAAAGTCATTTTGGGGACCTGTGGTTTTTGATTTTTTTTCAATCCAATTTTTGAGCTAGAATGCTCTTCTTCGGACTTGATCTGTCTTTTTATGACACAAAACGACCCTGAAAATCCCAGGTCGCTAGCTCAATTCGTTCTCGAGTTATCGTGATGACAGACAGACAGACAGACAAACACACAGACAGACGCGAAACTTTTTGATCACCACTGGAGTAATAGGCTTCGCTAATCGCTCAGCCAATGACACAAAACGACCCTGAAAATCCCAGGTCGCTAGCTCAATTTGTTTTCGAGTTATCGTGCGCTCAGACAAACACACACACACACACTCACAGACGTGAAACTTTTTGATCATCACTGGAGTAATAGGCTTTGCTATCGCTCAGCCAATAATTCAGTGCTCAAAGTGTAACCTTGTGTTTTCCCTTTATCCACATTTCCTGAAGAACGCACTCCTGGCAAAGCAAGCAATTAATTCTAGCCACACTCATTATGCACAGACTCACATCAAATTCTAGTCGTAGCTTGGATCTCTGATCTCTTCTAGTCAACTTGGCCACGTTGTTAGGCCCTAGTCATCCTAACTTTTAGTGAAACACTTAGAGATCCACTACAGTGCATCTGACGCCCCAATAGGAAAAAGCGTAAGAAGGTGGGACGTCTTTGGTATACACCAGATTGTGCCTAACTCGGAGCTTTTTTCTTTAAGTCGACTCACATTTCTCAACTTTGGAACGTTTTGACATTTCAACGAGAAGTTCGGAACAAAGGCTAATGAAAGTGCCCACCACAGATGCCTCATCGCTTTCCCCACTTAACGACTTCATCGCTCTGTAGAAAGCTCCCACGAGGCGCCTGTAGTCAAAAGAGGCCAGGCTGTTTGAACGATAATAGATTAAAAGCGAGTGTGAGCGAGCTTTGAAACATGGTATTGACAACCCTAACCTCACCTGATCGTCACGTCCTCCCTCCCCCGGAGGGCTTTCCTCATCTCCGCCATACACTCGCCAGAGAAAGCTCGTTTTGACATGCGAACGCCTCCCTTTGCGGTGTGTTGAGAAATGCACAGAAAGAGTGAGATGGAACTTCAAATCACGTCAATGTATTTACACCATGGACTTACATCACGCTCGGAAGGTTGTCTTGTGACCAGGAAAAAATTAAAACAAATTGGTGATTTAAAAATGAAAATGGAGTACTAATCTTTTGAAGTGATTTCTTTGATTTTTAAACGAACTTTCCACGTTTATCAGGTAGACGTCACACGAAGCCTCATCGGAGCGTCATAAGGACTGCCAAATCGCAGAAAAAAATTAAAGGAAAAACGACCGCGTTTTGGAAGGAAAAACGCATAAGGTCCCATTTAGTGAAATGCCAGGAAATATAACGCCACTAGAACGTTACTCTAATCTACAGCTTTGAAACGAACGAGTTGCACACCTTTTTCTTTCAAGCTTACAGTTGGCAGCGCTGTCTCACGACATGTCGATATAGCGAGAAGGCGGTGACTACGCCAGCAGATGACGGCCGGCAGTTGCTCACGAACGTGCACACGGGTCACGTCAAGCGTTCCCAACTGTTCTTTCGCTGGTCCTTTGTGTTGACACACGCTGCTTTCTCTCCCGAGCCGACTGTACACGTACGAGGAAACGGTAAGTTCGAAACAGGTGTTGTGGCGCCCTCCCGCACACACCTTTGTCTCCCTATTAGAGGCACGCGTGAAAGTGGGGTTAAATTCCTGTTGTGTTTATGTCCTAGGTATGGCTTCTCCTCCGCCTGTTTTCGTCGAGAAACGGTATGGCATCAGTCACTTTAAGATCTGCCAGGAATTGTACACCGATGTCGAATCCCTTTTGGAGATCATGTACCAACGAGACGTGGTCGAACAGGGAGCTTTCATGGTAAGAATGCCACAGTCTGGGTACACACTACAACCTTGTGCACTTTATTGTGCATAAAATTGCAGGATTGTTTACATCAACGAGTATGCACACATTTGTATCCATTATTGTGTACAAAATGTGCATCATTATGCACACACTGTACATGGTTATGCATAAAATAGTGCAACAATAAAGTGCACAGGGTTGTAGTGTCTACGGAAAGCCTACATTGCAATTTCACACTTTTTAATCTGGTTTTTTGCTGTCCCTAGGCGGAGATGGAAATGGACAACCTACACTCACGGACCACTTTCACGGAGACAATCAAAGCGGACCTGCGCCGCGACAACTGTCAGAGTGAGATAAGCAGAGCGCATCGAATACAAGTGGATGCGAAGTCCAGGAAGCTGCGGTCCTACAAGGTCACTACACATCACCCGTCCGACACCGATCAATCGGAGAGCGTGAGAGTTCTGCTCGAAGAGAAGAGAGAACAGTTTTTGGCAGGGTTCCTCGAAACCGACCTAAACCTCCCTCAGAAGAACACCCTGTAAGTGTCAACGAAGACATTTTTATTTTTTTAATCCAGCGTTTTCCGTGGCATTGTTTGACTTGACCGTTTCCTTTCTTTTCCCTTTTTTGACACAGGCAGGATGCGCTGGACCTCGGTGTGGACACCTGCCTGGACACACTGTTCAGGATTATGGAGACGCGCTCGAGAAAACATCAACTCTGGTATCTTCCTTATATAACTCCGACAAATGCCATGGGCATGGATTTTGCTCCAAATTGTGACATGAGAAACATGCGGTCTCAAATCCACCATCTCGGACCAAAGAAACCCGCTGGAATCGTGACGCCCACGATCTACGTAGGCAGCGAAGGGGCCCCGTTCGCGTGTCACAGGGCAGGGCAGACCTGGCATTTGAAGCCGTGAACCAGCAAGTCGCTGGAGGAAATAAAGTCTGGTGAGTTCACATTCCCGATCATCTGACTCCACTCTGACAATTTTAGTCATTTTTTAACGATTTTTCTCTTTCCTGTAGGTTTGTCATCACACCCACGGATCACAATGCCTTCTGTGACGTTCTCGCAGCGTTGGGCTACACCCGGGCAGAGGGGAGCTGCAGAAACCTACTGAATCACAAACACTGTTTTATCGACCCCAGGACCATATTGAAGGCTGTCATACCAGTGCACACCGTCAGTTTTCCTCCTGAGCCCTCATGTCGGAGGAATAGATGAATTGAATCTCACCAAGGTACCTCTTTCACTGTTTCAGATCGTCTTGCGACCAGGACAGATTCTATACCTCTTCCCACATGCAATACACTGGGGATTTAACGTCTCGTACAACCTCAATCAAGCGGTAAACGTTGCATCCAAGTCATGGGCCTTGTGTTGAGTCGCCGCTCAGAAACCCTGCAATTGTCCGACGTACGTAGAACCTGACACAAACCT